ACTAAACTTACGATAGCACGGAGGCTGCATTTCTAGGGGATTGCGACTTTCCCACATACGCTGCAGAAGGCAACATTGGGGCTAAACTATATCTGTTTACGCGCCTCTATCAGGACTACTCCCGCCTTTCGTTCAGTGAATATACGGACAGGCCTGTTGCGATCTCTGGTCTAGAACAGAGACTCACCAAAGCCTTTGCGAGGAATCACGGAAACGGAGGGAGTGGTGCCGGCATTTTCGAGCATCGAAGCCACCGTTGGCTTCTCTGGATCAGAGCTGCAGATGAAGATGTCAGCACACTCGAACGCGTCGTTTTCGATCCGGCGAACTTTAGCAGTGCTGGTGCTGTAACTGGCCAAGGACCCAGAATGCATGCCCCGCCGTCCTGGTCTTGGATGGCTTACAAAGGCGCCGTGTCTTTCTTAGAGCCTCCAAAAGGTAGTGTCAGGTGGAACAAAGCGTTACAAATCAACCTCACTGGAACTGAGACGACGTCCTGGCTACATGCCGCCGACAGTTTGTGGATCAAAGCCCCAGTTCTTGAGCTCGTAGAGGATGCTAGTCAGCTCTTCGACAAGATGAATCTTACGTATGACATTCCGGATGAAGCAAAACAGCGCACGAAGAAGGTCGTGGTCATAGGAACATTAGGAAGGCAGGACGACCCGATAGCTACTCAATATGTGCTTGTCATAAGTCCCAAGGAGCACTCTGACACTGGAGTCTACGAGCGTATTGGTGCTGGGTACATGCCCAACAAGTTTTTGAAAAGTGGTAGCACGCAGCAGGAGATGATTTTGATTCACTAAACTTAAAGACCATTTCGCATAGTAATATAGGATAGCGAAGGCAGACATTCCCAGCTGTCATGTAGAACAGAGTAGAGTATCTATCAAGTATCTAATCAGCGTAGAGACGGCCTTTCCATTCAAATGTTAATACCGGTAGAAGTGACCCTTTACTGTACCTCCTTTGCTTATACTCGATAACATCTTCGACAACTTGATTGTGGGGTCAATTTTTGCCCACGTCCTAACTGGTATTTGAGAGATAAAATGACCAGTGATGAAGGCCAACATTAGACGATACTTTCTTGCGCCAATAATTCGGTGGCTGGCAATCTTCCTAACAGGTATCGTGTTGGACTTCCGAGGAAGTATTCAATAAGCGCCAAGGGCTCTCGACCACCACATCTCAGACCGCAGCCTCACAGGATATCTAGGTCTGGACCGATTTGGTATCCGTCTTGACTGCATCAAGCAGAGCTTGTACGAAGCAGCGGATCCATATTGAAAAGGGCTAGAGAAGTCGCCATGGTCTCAACTTGGAAGAGGACTAGTTGCAGCCTAAGCTTTCAGCCTTATGGCAAGGCTGAGATAAGACTTTTCCAAGACTTCTCAGGGACAGAATGAATGCAGCCCCTAGCCAGGCTTCAAATCATAAATTTTCGTTTCCATGTTCCTGATTATGTAGCATGCCCACTTGCCCAGCTGTCCGAGTGTGGATTCTTTCCAAGATACAACAGCAAATGAAATGAAGCATCATGGAGTTGTCAAGAATATTCGAGACTACATTCTCGTACATATGGCTCTTATGCCTCTTTTACTCAAAGATAATACATGAAATCGGGATGCTCTTCGTTGATTTCTTCAACACCTAGAGCTCTCTTCTCTTTCGCCTCCTGAGATCCTTGAGTGGCCAGTTTCTTCGCATTCTTCCACATCAGTACTCGAATTTGAATACCAGAAGCAATCACCCCAAACACCATCATCCCAAGAACAAAGCCATGGCCCGCGTAGTAATGTGGTGGACCGTTGTAAGCTTTTTGACTTGCGATCGCAAAAACCTGTCCGATCATTGATGTTAAAGCGTACAAACTGGCTCTGTTCCTGATTAGCACGTGTACACCCACCAGTGCCTGTCCATACCTTTTGGTATATCCTAGGATATTGCTGGCAAACCATACTTGATAGAGGACCGTGGTCGGGAATGTGCCGATACCAACGAGAAAGACAGCCGTCAGCCCTGCCCCTTTAGATGGTGCGGTAAGAAGCACTATATAGCCAACTGAAGCAATTGTAAAACAGAGCATTATGAGCCAGCCGCGCTGCTTCAAGCGGTCCGACAGCAAGCAGCAGCCAATAGTCATGACACCTGTAGCGACCCATACTGGAATAGTAAGAAGATTCGTGCTCAGGGTTGAATAGCCGAATTGCTTTACAATCACAGGCAAAAAGGTACTGAACGCACCTATCGAAGCATTCGTGGCACAGGCTATGACAACATATCTGATTTTGCTGGTTAGGTCTCGTCTTGATCTAAATCATCGGTGGTCAACTCACATCCAACAGGAAGGATCTTTCAGTACTTTCCAGATGTGTCCAGGCCGCACTTTGGCATCACCAACTACGTTGAACGCTTCGTTGTATCTTCGAACCGCCATTTCACGTTCCGCGACACTGAACCCTTTCCTGAACTTGTCAGGAGATGCTGGAAGACAAAAGTGGATAATTGGAGCAAAAGCTACCGCCATCAGACCTAAATTAAGTTAATAGTCATGAAATGTGTTGAGGACTTTTTGAATATAATAACTTACCTTCGATCAAGAAGACCCATCTCCACGCTAACCAGCCGCGGACATTGTTAAGATTCTTGACGATGCCATAGCCAAGTATGCCATTAAAACTTCCAGAGAGTGCAGTGACAGCATAGTAGATTGAGCCTCGCGTGGCCAACTCATCTCTTCGGTAGAGAAAGGTCAAGTACAGAGTTGCCACGCTGTTAAAAGCTTCCCCGGCGCCAATAAGGACTCTAAATCCAGCAAGAGTTTCCCAATTCTTTGCTGTGCACATTCTAGTTATGATTAGCTCAAGTCCATATCGCCATATAAGAGGACTGACACTGTAGTGAAGGTTCCCCAAACAACCAATGCCAGAGAGATTTGTGTACCCGCTGTTATCCTCTTTAGGAAAAGACTGGCAGGAAATTGTAGGAGCAAATGCCCGACATAGAAAACTGCCGAGATTGTGCTAAGCTGATCAGCAGTTATATTGAGCTCTTCTTTCAATCCCGCGTTGTATGCATAACCGATGTCTCCCTTGTCCTAGCAAACTGTTAGTATCATATTTTTTGATTGAGACTTTTGAAAGGAAGAAGGAGAGCGTGAAGAGATAGCTTGTACTAACAAGGGAGGCTAAAAATGTGGTCATGCTCAACAGAGGCAAGATCATGAAGTCGATTTTCCTGACCAATTTCTTTTCAACCTGTCTTTGCTCTGGCGTACGAGTTGTTTCAAAGTGCTTGAGAAAGCCATTGGAACTATCGTTGTTTTCGGATTGTACAGGAAATAGTTCAATATCTTCCAAGTCATGCACAGATGTGATAGTGTCTGTAGAACCAGTCATATTTGCATAAAGAAATTTGACCTAAAAAAACAACAAAAACTTGATCTATCTCCAATAAGATATGGCTGCTTTATGTAACACAATGCGGAAAACTATATATCAATTGACTAGGGGTTGATTTACTCAACAACCTCTTTTCTCTCTCAGTTGCGTCACTGTACCATTTGGCGCCAGTCAAGGTACTCCGCGATCTAACATGTATGTAAGCATTAAAGCTAAGCCCCTGAAGCGCTGTCACTGGCCTGATAGATGAACATCAAGAGATGCTTGGGCTTACATGGCCACGTACTTCTGAGAAACACGACTCGGGGGATCAATTAGGCAACCGCGAAAAGTTGAACGGAGGCTGAACAATCGAGGCACGTTCTAAGTAACCTGTACTCGGCGTAATTCTTAGAATGTAACCAAGACGCGAGAATTGAGTGGTGATATTGAAGCTTATAGAGCGTCAAGAAACAATAATGAAGTACTATTTACTACTAATTGGGCGCATTACTGGGTTATAATTGCCTCTTATTTGTCACAGCCATAGAAAATTGACATTGAAAGAAATTTCAAAGTTTTCTTGCAATTCCCATTGTCGGTTTTGACTAGTACAGAAGAACATGTTGATAAAGTTCGGTCTACGCACTCAACCAGCATTATTCTACATGATGTATGTCTTGAATTACTACATATTAGACGGAATAATGGGCATTGTCAAAGGGAGACTGGCATGACAAGTGAAGTTTTCTGTCACTAGCAAGTGTCTGAGCTTAATTCGCATTTTGCTGATCTTATTGTTTGAATGAATGGACAAGAGATTGAGAATCCGGTCTGTGAAATAATGTGTAAATGGCTAGATCGGTGAGGCTCGTAGCGGCTTAACTACTTCGGGTGGGGATCGATTCAAGGTATATTCTTGGGACCTCTTTTCCATCCCTAGCATTAAATATCTGACGCGTAATGGTGTTTTTTTGGTCTGGTTGATGAAACAAGGAGGAATGTATTGTGCATTTAGGCAACAGCCTATCTGCGTCCTCAAAATTGATTGTAGAGTTACCAGCAACGTGAAAGCCTGATTATGAGATATGGGAAAGTAGTATCGAGAATGCTTTATCTGATTTTACTTAGGTGTCCAGGTATAGACGGTCTACAAGTAGTCTCATTTTCTACTCAGATCTCTAAACATTCGAATAAATTACCCCTTGAAATTGGATATCGATCCTCTCATGACAAACTGAGGCACAAACCGCCCACAAAAGGCGTAAATACACTACTAGTACCTTATTCTTTAAGTCGGTAGGTATCCCTTATATGTCTGAAATAAGGTCCCTAACGTAAACAGGTCAAATTCTTCTCCTATTCTCGGGGAGAAGTATGGCGTCCGTAGATAAATAGGTAAAGTTGTTACAAATAATGTAGTGAGTGCTACATACACAGTAATACTTTATATTGAAAAGAGGCTCGTAGACTTCCAATTGATAATAGTTGGAGTAGAAAGAGAATAATACAGGAAAGATAGTTTGATAGGGTGGGTAAATAGTGTATATAATATAAACAAAAACAGCAAAATTTTGGTTCATATTGTTCGTTGAAAGTACACTTTAAACGTCAGCTTTCTTGGTCTAGTCGGTTATGACGTCGGTCTCATATAACCACATGATTGCGTTTAACGCAAGCTATCCGAAGGTCGCCAGTTCGATTCTGGCAGAGTAAGTTCTATCAAACAACTGATTTGAGTGCTTTATCTAACGATTTCACTAGGAGCATATATCAAAGCAATTTGTTTTTTTTTGGTCTTTAGAGTACGGTAGTCTCTAGAGTCTAAATACTGGTAGGTACATGGCAGTACATACCGGTAGCATCCTCCCCTTCGCAGTGCAGGGGCCAAACATCTTGATAGTAACAATCATGAGGCTCCTTACTCTATTATAGCTTTTAGTACCTTAACAGTTCTCTTAATTTTGTGGATTTGCTCTGAGATAAGCTTGACCCCCCAATAACACTGTAGTAAGCACAAGGTTACGCTGACTCATTTACCCATTTTCGCTGTTTTCGACAACCTCACCAGCAAGGACCAGCGGTTCAGCGTGTATGATAGGTTATTTTCAGCCATTTATGCGCCATGGATCTCATTAACTGGACCCTGACAAGGATGCGGTGTTAACAACCGAGATCTTTTACACTTTTACACGTTGAGAACGTGAGTCGCAAAAGCGATCTGCATGGGGCATTTCCCGAATTATCCGCTGCTTCATGAGTAAACCCCTCTGCGAACTACTCTCCTCCGTGACTCCATCCCTCATCTTGACCACATAGATTTTCCGTTTCTTATTGCTTGCGATTCGTATGTGTTTTGACTTTCTGTCGTACTCTTATTTCCTCAGGAACCGCTTGTGACACAGACCTGCTCTTGCCGTATCACCTCTCTCCTACTCCGTACCCCACGATCAAAGACCTCCGATATCTTGCACCCATACACAACCACTTAGAAATAGTTTATCGACCTTGAGGGGCAGCCAATCCTACACTCAGCTATCCTGAACTCCTGCACTGATACAAGCTCTTTCATCGCTTGTGTATTCCTCAAAGCCCCACTATCCTCCGGGGATATCCGCACGGTGGCCGCGATCCAGACTTACAACCTATCGCCGTTGGAAGCGCTCATCATCCATTAAATGAGAGCTTGACATCAGTGGCAGATTTGTTAAACTTGAAACCTAAGGTTATCACTATCAAAAGAATTGCTGTCACGTCGCCATGGGACCCGATGCAGTTCGTGAGAGAGACTTGAATCGGTAAGCTTGCTAATCACTCGCGTGAAAGGCACAACATTTACACACTTTCCAGATACTACCAACCGTATAAGAATGCTCAATCCCTCAAATCCTACTCCCCTGCCGTAACTCCGGAGGAAAATCGGCACAATTCCCTCTGGTCAATTATTCCAGAAGATTACAAACCACAGTTTAGTTCAGATCGAGCTCTTACAGCTTTTGCCCAGCTCGCAACTTTACGCCTGGGAGTAAGAAGATGTATAGTATCGCTCATAGACTCGAAGAACCAATACATCTTGACAGAGGCGACTCGAACACTAAGTCTCTCTCGGCACACCATCGACAATGATGATGACAAAGTCTGGCTCGGAAAGAGTGTTCTCAATCGTGGCGATGCCATGTGCGAGAACGTTCTGGAAACTACATACACCGCGTACGACGAACAGGGTCGCCCATATACTGGAGATGGCCTGGTAGTCGAGGACATGACTAAGGATGACCGCTTCAAAGACAAGCCTTTTGTCCTTAACGAACCATGCATTCAATTTTACGCAGGCGTGCCCATACGCTCAAGAAGTGGTCATACAATTGGATCATACGCATGCTCACATAACAAGCCACGACCTGGGGGACTTACCCTCGAGGAATTTCGCTTTATGCAGGATATGGCTGAAACAGTGATGGACCACCTTGAGATGCTCCGCGATCGTGAGGATAGAACCAAGGGAGAGCGCATGATTCGAGGACTTTCCGAGTTCATAGAAGGCTCATGCGCTTTGGGACGTCCAGCCCCGAGTCAACCGAATAGCTACGCTACAAAATTAGCTCCACTGAACGGTACTCCGACCACTGCCGTCAATACAGTCTTAAACCGCCAGACGGAAAACCTGAGGACCTTGGAGGATGACTTGGAAAGTCCTCCAGCTTTAGTAGACACAGATGGTCCAAGTAAACTATCAGGACCAAAGGCTACCAAAAGAGTCGTGCAGCCTCCTCCATCAAACCCTACATGTATCTTCTATCGGGCTGCTGATCTGATCAGAAAATCTACATATGCAGATGGTGCCGTGTTCTTCAGGGCAATAGGACCGACTCTACGAGCAAAGATTCCCGATAAGAATACTAGCAGTGATGAAACATCCTTCGATGACTCGCAGTCTGGGACCTCCGGCAGTGAGACTATCCTCTCTTCTGCAAGTGGCAAGCCTGTGCTATCAAGAGGACCTCGGTTCACTACTCAAAGGCCGAAGAAGATTAAACCTACGGAGCGCGAGGAAGTGAAGCACTGCGAGGTTTTGGGTCTCTCAATATCCGAGAACGCTCCTGGAGAAGACAGTTTGGGAGTCAGGGACTTTCAATTCTCGGAACGCAGCATGGAGAAATACATAAAAAAGTTTCCGTACGGCAAGTTCTTTAGCTTTACTGAGTTCGGATCTGGTGTTTCTTCTGGCGACGACAAGTCTGAGCACGAACCCCAATCTACGGAACCTGCAAGTAACGGCACGATAAACGGCCACAGGTTATCAAATGAAGTCGTCAAACCAGGTTCGAAGAAGAGACAGAGTTTTTTGCCCACTGAGCTTTTAAAGATTCTACCAGGAGTTCGAACATTAATATTCTTACCCCTTTGGGATCCAGCTGCTGAGCGCTGGATTGCTGGTGGCTTTATCTGGACAAGCAAAGCCGGTGCTTTACTGAGTCCTCACAATGAATTGCCATATTTGAAGGCATTTGGAAACAGCATTACCAGCGAGTATGCTCGAATGAATGCATTGATTTCTGACAGAGCAAAGTCAGACTTCATCTCCAGTGTAAGTCACTCAATTTCTTTCAAGTTTCAGTAACTAATTGCTTGTATAGATCAGCCACGAGACTAGATCTCCGTTACACGGCATCCTTGGTTCAGTCGAATTCCTTCAAGAGACTGAGTTGAGTCAATATCAAGCCGGACTCGTGACTTCGGTCAACACGTGCGCCAAAACTTTGCTGGAAACGCTCGAATCTATACTAGACTATTCCAAAATCAACAAACTATATACTCGTGATCGTAATCAAAGACGCCTCGAAACACGATTGAAAAAACGGGATACCGAAAATTCCATCATGGGACCTGCTGCTGATGTGGACTTGCATCAGCTTCTCGAAGAAGTGGCGGAGTCTGTATGTGCCGGGCATGCATTCAGGGAGACCCATAATACCGGTGCTGGATATCCCACAGAAAATTCGAAAACGCCAGATAGCGCCTGCAACCTTCGGCACGTCGCTGTGTCGCTGGAGATTGCTCCAAAGATGAAGAATCTGGTCAGGACCCAACCTGGTGCGATACGCAGAATTGTGATGAACTTGCTAGGCAACAGTCTCAAATATACTCAAAATGGATATATCTCAGTTGTCATGAAGGCCCAACAATCGCCCACGGATCCTACTATGGCTGATGTTGAAATGACGTTTGCGGATACTGGAAAGGGCATGTCTCTTGAGTATCAACGGACACGAATGTTCTCGCCCTTTTCACAAGAGGATCCGTTCGCAGATGGAACAGGTCTTGGCTTGTCTATTGTACGCCAAATTGTCGATTCTCTCGGAGGACATATTGATATTTGCAGCACAAAAGACGTCGGTACAACTGTTGACGTTCATCTTACTCTTCCCTTGCCAGAAAATCTCCCGGCGGATGAGTTTACTGAAGTCTACAATATGGCGAAGGGTAAGAAATTATCTCTGGCTGGCGCAAATGCCTGCCCAAAATACCTTGGTCCTTGCCTAAAGGCCCTCCAATGCAACATAGAAGAGTGGTTTGGCATGGAGCTTGTACCATGTCCGGATAGTTTTGACACTATCAATGGCGATGCTGTAATCTGCCATGAGACTCTCCCCGATTTCAACAAGATGACTTTACAAGGAGCTCCTCTGATCGTCGTCTGCAAGAACCAGTCGAACCAGGTAGCACTACGAAAACATCTGCTTGCTACACTACCACAGTGCGCGAGAGCCAATATACAAATTGTGGCGCAGCCTCTTGGTCCGCAAAAGCTCGCTGGTGTTCTCAAGAACATATTCACAAACACACAGACCATAATGCCACACCCCAAGGCACCTATATCGCCGCCAGCTTCGCCCAAGAAGGTTCAGTTTCTTGATCCAATCACCGAAAGCACCAATGCCCTTGGGGACGATGCTCAACCACCCCGCCCAGGACCGGATCCTATTCCAAATGAGAAGATGGTCACAGAGGAGCATCACAGCTCAACTGCCATAGGTGAGCCTCCCAAGCGAGCATCAACAGAACCAGTCTCGAACAAGGAAGCTCCACCACAACAACCCAAGCGACCCGTCCCGATCCGTTTCAAGAGCGGCCTGCACCATGACAATCCACCTGCCGCCCATCATGTCCTCTTAGTCGACGACAACGCCATCAACTTACAACTACTCACCATGTTCATGCGCAAGATCGCTCTGCCCCACGCCTCTGCGCGGGATGGTCTCGAAGCCTTGAATAAATACAAAGATTGTATAGCGTGTCTCGGCGACACCAACAACAATAACGGAGAAACTAACGATGAAACCAACGGAGCCACTATCGACGGAGCCAACGGGACCACACAGCAAAATGGTGCAGCCAAACCGCCATCAGCATTCACGTATGTTCTCATGGACATCTCCATGCCAGTAATGAATGGCCTAGAGTCAACGCGGCGGATTCGCGAGTTTGAGCGCGAGCAGGGGCTGAAGAAGGCGATTATTGTGGCACTTACTGGGCTGGCGAGTGCTGATGCGCAGCAGGATGCGTTGGATGCGGGTGTGGACTTTTATCTACCGAAGCCAGTGCGGTTTGCGGATTTGAAGAGGTTGATGGGTTTGTGATGATGTTATTAGTGTATGAATGGTTTGTAGGGACGCGGTGGCGTGTAATGAGATGATGTAGCGCATAGGTTTTATTGC